TTAAAAACTAGAGAAGTGGAAGCCCCAGCTGACTGTAAAATTTCCCTCTTCTGGGCTTTGATCACAATTCTTTCACCCACAATTTTCTGCAAATAGCTCCTTGTGTCACATAGACATCCTTCCATCGACCTCTTTCATATGTGAGAGGCACTGAGGATTATTTCCCTCTTCTTATGTAAGTGAATCCAATGTGGCAGATACTATAACTTTCTCCCCCCTTGCAAACAGCCATTATAGAATCTTGGGCCTCTCACATTATTTGTCTGCCATACTTGCATGTAAGGCCAGGAAAATGGAGAGGAGAATGGTTAGAAGAGAACATTAGTAGAATATAGGGAAAGCGAGGGTAAAGAAAAAGAGGATTAATATGGATTTTTTTGTGTGTCAAAAAGAAGTCAACACACTTTGATCTTATTTTGTGTTAATAAAATAGACAATTTGGACAGGGGTGGGGGTGGTCCTGGGAATTCAAACCAGGGACACTTTGCCATTGTGTCTAGCCCTTTTTATTTTTTATTTTAAGACAATGTCTCACTAAATTGCTTAGGGCCTTGCTAAGTTGTACAAGCTACTCTTGAACTTCAGATCCTTCTGCCTCCGCCTCCTGAGTTGCCGAGATTACAGGTGTTATGCCACCAAGCCTGTAATTTATGTATATTAATGGAGCTAGCCAGAAAGTGCAGAAACTACCATGAATTCTATACAGTGATGATAAAAATCTTAAATATAGTTTTCTTATTTTGTTTTATGTCATATCATCTTATTTTTGTCATTCATTAGTGTATTTGGAGACTGTGGAGGGCTCTTAAAGGCTCTGGATTTTCAACTCACTTATTCTTTGTCATATTTTAAAGGAATCCAACACTGTAAGACATATTCCATGTTTTTCTACTGATGATTGTTTGTGGTGAAGCATCATGAATTAACTTGACTTGATGGATTTGTAGAGAAAGAAAGGCATGTGGAAAAAGCATTGTGGTAAGTTATACTGTGTACCCAAGAATGAGGTGTGTCTGTGTTCAGCCAGACTTGATCTAGATTGCTTTTGCTTTTGATCCCCTGGAGAGTGCATGTTTCACTAACTTATGTTTTAACTGTGATTAAAGTAACTCAGGACTGAGTAGTAATGATATGTATATGAGGACTAAGCTGGATTGGGGGAATAAATCAATGGATTTAATAATTTTCCACGGTCATTAGGTTTTTTTAAAAAATATTTTTTAGTTCTCAATGGACCTTTATTTAACTTATTTATTTATATGCAGTACTGAGAATTGAACTCAGTGCCTCACACATGCTAAGCAAGCGCTCTACCACTGAGCTACAATCCCAGCCCAGTGGTAAGCCTATAAGGATGTCTGGATTGATCTATTTGGGGACTTCCCTGGAGACAGTGAGTAGAGACTATGTGATTCAGGATGTCAAAAGCTGTAGAAAGAAAAGCTCTTATGAAGAAAAAATATCATATATAAACATTAATATCGCATTTATAGACATAGTTTCCCCATCTCCTCTAGTGCTTATTATGAAATATGATTTTTGGTGGTTTTGTGTGGAATAATGCTTAGCTAAGAAAGAATTATAGAAGGTTTGGCAGTAAAGATATGGTTTGGACTATGTAAATGTTTTCAAGTTTTTTTTCTTTTTAGATCAGTTTCATACCTCACATAACTTACTTCTTTTTTTTTAATATTTATTTATTTTTTTAGTTATCGGCAGACACAACATCTTTGTTGGTATGTGGTGCTGAGGATCGAACCCGGGCCGCACGCATGCCAGACGAGCGCGCTACCACTTGAGCCACATCCCCAGCCCCATACTTACTTCTATAATATTGGTATGTAATAGGAGATTAAGATTATATACTAAGAAATTGTAAGCCAGATCATTCCCTATGTTCTCATAGATATCAAGAGATTCCATAGCTGCTAAAGGTGAAGGTGGTATGTGTAAGGCCAGAAGGAATGTGATGTATTAGTTAGCTTTCTCTTAATGTAACAAAAACCTGAGATAATCAACTTAAAAAGAGAAAAGGTTTATTTGGTTCACAGTTTTAGATGTTTCAGTCCATAGTCAGTTGTCCCTGTTGCTTTTGGGCTTGTGGCAAGGCAACAAATAATGGAAGGGAGTACATGATGGAAAAAGTTGCTTACGACATGACCTAGATGAAAGGCAGAGAGAAAGGAGGAGAAGAGGAGGTATTGGGTCCTATTATCCTCTTCAAGCCCATGTCCTCAATGACCAGAAGATCTCCTATTTGGCACCCCCACCTTTTCCAGACTGGGGATTGCACACAGGAGCACTCTGAGCTATCACCAGCCCCTCTTTTAAAGTCTTATTTTGAGACAGGTTGTCACTCATGTGCTCAGGGGGCCTGGAACTTGAAATCATTCTGCCTCAGCCTCCTAGGTAGCTGGGATTATAGACATACAACATTGTGCTGGTTTAGGCCCCACCTCTTAAAGGTTCCACCATTTCCTACTAGTGTCAATCTAGAGACTAAGCCTTGAACACATCATGGGCCTGTAGGGACATTCCAGATCAAATTCATAGTGTGTGGTAAAATCATTTTTGATAACAATATAATTTTTACATACTAAAATATTCAGTTACAATATTCAGTTATAATTAGGCAAATGCTGTTTGCCTCTCCTGTTCCCAGGCTTGATAACTATTTTCTCTTCATAATACCATCCATTTAATTCTAGCTTGTAGTCTCAGCATCGTTTTAGCCTCTAAAGCAAATTTTAAATACAGAAGGAACAACTTAAAGAGATTTGATCCAACACTCTAGAACTTAGTATTAAGTCCTCCCCTGACCTAAAACCTTGGTTTTTATATTGAGGGCATTGGGACAACCCAATCTCTGTATTTTGTAACAATTGGAATAACTAGGGCTCCTCTTGGTGCAACGTTTGTATACCATCTACCCCTGAGGTCCTTCTATGTTCTCTCCTTAATTTTATTAAAGACTAGAAACCCTCAAGCCTCTGTATGGTACCTAAGGCCCTACCAGATACTCTCACATTTTGTTAGTGTCAACTACTTAACTATTGCTCCAAATATCCCTTACTCCTGTCTCTATTCTCCACTTCAATGTACTAAGTATTTATGAAAACATTCTTTTACCCCTTGTTGGAACCACTCTTCTCCAAAGGCCTACTCTTTGTCAGCTCCTGTACTTCCTATACCTCCTGCCCAGGTCTGAATTTTCTCATGTCAACTATAAGTGAATTTGTTCTCCCCCTACTTGTGTCTTTTTGAAAACTTCAAGTGCAAGACCAACATAGCTATTCTAGTTTCTGAGAAATTTATGTCATGTTTTATATTTTGTAATGTTTATAAACTATTGTACCATTCATGCATTCTAGCCATTGTATACTCATGAGATTTGTTTTCCTATGTTCCAAAAGAGTATTTTATAATTTCATGTCAAGTTCTAATGTGCCTAATTGTACTTTTGCAAATCATGCAATGTTGTCTTTTCTTTTTCCAATTAGCTACTTACTGATATTCACCTAGTTTTAATTTGGGGGAAATTTCAGAATTGTAAATGCTAATGAGTTGAAAATTGGTTGGAATATGACAGTCCCCAAAATGTTAAAGCTAATCTGGTCTTTTCACCCATTCATTCATTCATTCATTCATTTAATAACTGACTTTTCTGACCACCAGTTTACCCAACTCTAAAATAGTTGTGAAGATTAATAGTAGTGCATATAAGGTGATTTAAAAAGTTAGAAACAAAAAAGTAAAAATTATTTTTAAAAACTATTGCTAGCATTGCAGAGCACAGTGGCACACACCTCTAATTCTAGTGGCTGGGGAGGCTAAGGCAGGAGGATCTCCAGTTCAAAGCAAGCCTCAGCAACTGTGAGACGCCTAAGCAACTCAGTGAGACCCTGTCTCTAAATAAAATACAAAATAAGGCTGGATATTTAGCTCAGTGGTCAAGTGCCCCTGAGTTCAATCTGTGGTATCTCCATCCTGGCAAAAAAACTATTGCTAACATAATTATCTACATTTTAATCTGGAATTCAGTACTTTGTTCTGTCTTCAGACACACTGCTCTTTGCTCTTCTACTTGTAGCTGAATTCAGTTTTCCTGATAGATACAGTCCCGATGCCTGATAAGGATGTGCAGATATTGCACTTGAGCTCCACTCTTATGTCTCTCAATTTTGTTTTGTTTTGTTTGTGGTATTTGGTAAAATATAAACAAATGTTATCTACTTTTAGCATGATATCTGTCATGTGATAGGAACCCAGTAAAAGTCTATGAATGCGAGTGTATGTTGATGTGATTTTTGGAGGACAGTTAGGCAGTTTCTTTCATAACTTTTAAGTTTGTGTATCCTCCATTCCAGAATTTACATTTCTAGAAATTTAGATATAGTTGTGTGTGTGTATGTATGTATGTATGTATGTGTATGTATATATGTGTGTGTGTATACACACACACACACATACACTATTGTGTGCAGCAGAACACCAAAACCAAAACCAAATACCCGAAAACAACCAGAGGTCCATCAATATGGTACTGGCTAAATAAATGATGGTACTTTCATTTATGTTACTTATAATCCATGAAATTCTCTACAGTCATCAAAAAATTGGATGGCTATATGTACAAATGGAGAAAAATCCATATTCTAGACACATCATAGAGAACGTATCCTATGCTGCTTTTATGTAAGTAGAGGATACACAGATATGTGAAAGTAAATATTTCTATAAGGTACAAAAAATGTACTTGTAAACACTGGGACACATCTCGAAGAACACATCAGGAACTGGGTGCAGAGGGACCTAATTTTTTATTGCAGGTCCTGTACCATTTGAACTTGAAGTGCTCACAGAAACTCACAGACCTGTGCTACAGGCCTCCGGCCACGGAGGCGCAGTCGCTGCCAAAGTCCTGTTTGTCAATCTAGCGACTCAGCAAACCGACGTGTGACGCCATCACGACAGGCGGTGGCGCAGGCGCAGTGGCGACGCACCGGGCATTCTGTGGGTAGCTCCTGGGCGCGCTTCCGACCCAGCTTCTTGTTCCGGCACCGAGGACGCCAGACTGACCGCTTTGACCCGCTTGGCATTGGGTGGACGGCATCTCGGCCCCCAAATGAGCCAATGGCATCATGCCCGCAGTGGCTGGGGTCGGGGACGCGACTTTTCTGGTCGTCCCTCAGCAAAGAGAAAGGGCGGAAACCGCATCCCGGAAAGGTAAAACGTCCCGGGTGCTGGGGATGGCCCTTCCGGCTCTTAGCTTCTGGGCGTGGGCTCCGTGTCTTGTGGTCTGAGCCTCTCACGGTCGCTTTTGCGAGCTTGGCCCGTGTGCCAAGCTGGGATTAGAGACTTTGACCCTGGCTGCGCCACCCGTAGAAGCTGAAAGAAGCTGTAGTGGTCAGTGAATTCGCCCACCCTTTTAAAAGGGAAGGCTCTGTCCATTGCTCCTCGAGTCAACTAGTGCTTTGAGGCGGGACTTGGTGTTGGGGACACTCCTTAATCATCCAAATGGAACGCCTCCCTCAGTTCCTCAAGTTGTATTGTTTGTTGGCACAGAAAAAAATGATTAATAAGATTTAAATATGAATGAATTCCTCTGTACCTGCATGAGACCTTTCATGAAAAGGTGGTTTGCATTATTTCCAGGAATCACCGAAGGCAAACTGGTGCTTTCTAACAGGTGTCACCTCAGAGATCTTCCTGTATACATCTAAATGGTTAGTTTTGGGGACTTTGTTCGTCTGTGAAGTGAAACTGTTCAGTCCTTGAAATCTTCCTCTCCTTCGTTCCAGACTTCATTGAGTCCCTTTCATTTTATCTCCTCAATATCCTTTGAATCTCAATTTTTCTCCTTCAGCATCCTAATGCAGGTTTTACCTGACCTTTTGCTGTTGAGTCCAGTAGTGTCCATATATCTATTCTTTAATTTCTTCCAGCCTGTTCTTCCCACAGATCTTTTAAATAGGTCATTGAAAACTTGAAATTGAGCCAGGCACAGTGGTGCATGGCTGTAATCCCAGCTTCTTGGGAGACTAAGGCAGGAAGGCAAAGTCATAAGTTCCAAGACGGGCTCAGCAATTTAGTGAGACCTTGTCTCTTAAAAAAAAAATGTGGGTATATAGCTTAGTGATCAAGTACTCCTGGGTTTAGTCTGAGCACCCAAACCGGCTTGAAATTGAAATGGAATGGGAAGGTAGTCATAGACATCAGTGTAAAGCATTATTTTAAGAATAAAAACAATCTTCTTATGTGCTCTATAAGTCCCTGTATAGTCTGGGATCCTCTCTGCTTCTCCAGCCCCATTTTTTGCCACTCTTGACTTTCTGTGCTTCAGTTATATTGAATTAACCATAGTTAATTCTAACTTGTCCTACAGAGGTGAGCTCAAATATTACTTTTCAGGGTTGACCACTAGCATTTTTAAGTGAAGTTCACAGTCCCTTTCTATGTGATGAGTTTTCTCGTCAAACATAGACCTTAAATTCTTTATCAATTGAATTTGATGCTATCGGTTGTATTAAAACTAAAAAATCATGTTTAGTGAAAGAATTGAATTTAAATCATTACCCTGTGTTTATATTGATAACACCTTAACATTTGGTACTGGGATTAGGTTTGTCAGGGATACAGAAATTCTGTCATCTGATTTTAGATAATCCTTATTTGTGGAGGTCTTTGTTCTGTTGCCTTGGATCTGTTTTCAAGATGGGGAAATGAGCAGAAGGAATTATGGATTGTTACCAGGCAGGGATGAATAAGTGGCAGAATGCAAAGCATAGAAAAGGGACATGCTCTGTGCACTGTGACTGGTTTTCTAGAAGCTTTAATTCTGTACAAGGAGACAAGGCTAACATACAGTTTGGCTAACAAAAAACATATCTACTAGGTGGAAAGACTATCTCCCAGTTGGACAGAGGATGCCTGGGACTCGATTCATTGCTTTCAAAGTTCCTTTGCAAAAGGTAAGCAAAAGTTAATTCAGTATTCTTTCAGAAATCTAAATTCACCACATGGAATCCTGGTTTGTTTTTTTTTTCTTTTTTCAAATTAATATACAATTTTAATGTACATAGCTATATAAATATATATATATATTTTAAGACTAGATGAAAATTTATTCAATAAAAATTGTTCATCACAAAGTTATTAAAAATACTTTCCTAGTAATGTACACATCATAAACTTAGGTTCCTCTTTGGGGGAGGGGGTTAAAAGCCCTAGTATCCTCTCCTCTTCAGGCAAGGTGTGCTCTTTTTCTCTTTGATGGCTTCCTAGACCACCTCGCCTGCAGGAAATCAGGTGGTTATGGCCAGCAAAGGAGCATCATGTACTCTGCAGAGGGATGATGTCACCAAACTGTAACATTCTATGGTGAGGAGCTTCCTTGCTGAGAGATGGTCTTTTGGGAATGTAGCTACTTACAACCATGCTACATTTGGCCTTAGTAAAGTAGAGGGGACATTGGCTCTGCCATCTCCACCCATATTTTTGTGAGTTTTACACATTTGGAAATAATGAAACCATTATTTGTGACTATCTCTGGGACTTATGAGTCACAATTCATGCATCCATATGGTCCACAGTGTCATCCAACCAGGGCTCGGGGTTTCAGAGTAGAGCGTTTGTATTCAGGCAGCCCTGACTTCATTGTTCCTGTGTCTAGTCACTATATTAGACCACCTTCCTTAATTAGGAAAATTTTTAAAAAAAGAAAAAAAAACAAACCTGACATTGGTGTCTTAATCTTTGCCAGATTCCTGGCACACCACATTCAAATTGTGATGTCAAACATTCTTTTTTATTTTTTTAAATTGGAAAACTAGTTTCATTTATTCATAAATTTAATAACTAATTTTGCTCTATATCTTGTTGTTTGTTGGGATTGGTGAGCTTTTTGTGTTTGTCTTGATCCCAGTGACCTTTACTCAGAATACATTTATTGAGGCCACAGTGCTATTACTGTACTAAAAGGAACCTGTGTCAACTCTATAGTGACATCTTGGATTTGCATGCTTGAAAATTTTCAAAGTAAATTTTCTTCTTACCTTCAGACCCATGCCATGGAAAGATTATTCTATACATTGCTATAATTTATGAAATTACAGTGATTCATGTTGAATTTGAAGAATTCCCACATGATGCCAGCATGCACAATTTTTGCAACCTCCTACTTAGAGCCAGAGGTGCTTGGTGGCTTATCTGTTTACACCTGTGACGCTGTGTGACAGTGCTTCATACAACATTGTATTTAGAAACATGGCCAGCTATAGCAAAACTGGAAATATGGAGAAAGTTCTTCAACAATCTCTTTCCTTTGAATGTGTCTGTGTAATTCAGCCAAATACTTATTTTCCAAAATAATACTAAGAAGTAGCTTCTACTGTTTTCTACAGTGTCTTGGTAGTCATCTTTGCTACCTTCCTCCAGGAGCCAGCCTGCCTCTTCTGAGTTGAGTGATCTCGTTTTAATTTTCGCTGCTCTGCACTAAACAAGGGAATCCCTAACTGAATCTATAGAATTAAGTGTTCATGTGATAAATTCTCACTGCTGTCTGTTGAGATGTATATATGTTCTAATTAACTATCAGCCAATAGTATTGTGGCTATCTATTGAAAATTGTTTCATACCAATTTTTTAATTTGGGCTGCTATTTTTTAATAGAGACTGTATGTAAAAAAATTTATTAGAACATTGGTTTTCAACAATATCACACTCCGCTTTCCTTTTTGTAGCAAATGCTTCTAAATTTGCAGATGAATATAATTGACTTCAAAACATACTTTTAAAGAAATCATTATAATGCAATAACTATAAATAATACTGAATTTATAATTAGGCAATATATATTTCAATATCTAAATTAATGAGCATTACCACATTAGAACATATAAAGAAAGAGGTGCTTACACTACGAATGTAAGATCCACAAATATAGACTGTGACCGAGGTGGGTTATATTTCCATGGCAGTGAACAACTCAGTAGATTTCTAAACAACATAAAATACAATCTTCACTTTGTTGATAAGGTGTCCTGAGAAATTCAATGGACATTAAAATTGTGCAAAAAATACTTTATTTGTGAATCAGAGTTAGGTTCTAAAGCTTAGGTAAATAGGAGCAGTCTTTTTAAAAAGTAATGTCAATATTGACTAGGATATTTACAAGTCATTAGGATGTGGAACATAAACACATATTTACATATTGAGTGAGCTTTTTTCTTCCTTTGGATCACTGGAAGAGAGGTTTGTAATTTAGCTTCCAATAGAGTATAAACTCTCATTGTATCTCATAGTTTGCTAGCATGATATGATTTGAATAAATGCATAATAGAGGATTTTGACACAAATTTACTCTCTATTTCATTTTCTCTGACAAGAGTTTTGAAGCGAAACTTGCTCCAGAAGAACGCTTTTCTCCTCTGGATCTTTTTAACAAAATCCGAGAACAAAATGAAGAGCTTGGACTGATTATTGATTTAACATATACTCAGCGCTATTATAAGTCAGAGGTAAATTGAACCTTTAACTGAAAGCAACATTCTTCATTATGATATTAAAATAATTTATAGTAATTCAGTAATAATAGTTTTCATCTTGTGCTTGTGTGAAGTGTAACCTTCTTTCATGAGTAATAATAATTTTAAAAGGAAATCAAATCTTTCTTTAAGTACATGCTTTTAATGCTGTCTCAAAATGAGATTGGAGACATGAATTGAACTATTTGGTCACCATTACTACTGTTTATATTCAAATCCTTTTCATCATCTTCAACAAAAACTCTATAACCATTAAAGAGTAATTCCCTTTTCTCCCACTCTTTCAGCCCCTGGTAACCTCTGATCTACTTTTTGTCTATATAACTTTGCCTATTCTTGACACCTCATACAAATGGAATAATAATATTTGTCCTTTTTTGTCTAGCACATTTCACTAATTATGTTTTCCAGATTGATCGATTTGTAGCATGTATCAGAATCTTATTCCTTTTCATGGCTAAATATTTCATTGTGTTCATATGCTATGTTATGTTTATCCTTCATCTATCTGTAGGTACGTGGGTTATTCCTTTGGCTATAGTGAATATCACTGCTATTAACATTGGTGTAGAAATGTTTGGTTTGGGGTTGGGTTTTTTTTTGTTTTTGTTTTTTGGTACTGCGGATTGAATCTAGAGGGGCTTTACCATTGAGCTTTCTCCCGAGCCCATTTTTTTTAATATATTTTTTTTTAGTTGTAGATGGACACAATATCTTTATTTTATTTATTTATTTTTGTGTGGTGCTAAGGATCAAACCCAGTGCCTCATACAGGTGAGTCACATACTCTGCCACTGTGCCACGTGCTCTGTCACTGAGCCACAATCCCAGCCCCTCTCCAGCCCTTTTAAATTTTTATTTTGAGACAGAGTTTCACTAAAGTGCTTAAGGCCTTGCTGGATTGCCAAGGGTGTCGTCAAACTTGTGATCCTCCTGCCTCAGCCTCCTGAGTTGCTGGGAGTATAGGCGTGCGCCACTGTGCTGGGATAGTGAACAGATATTTGTTTGAATCTTTCCTTGCTTTCAGTTTTTTTAGATGTATAACTAGGAGTAGAATTGCTGGGTCACATGGTAGTTCTGTGTTAACCTTATGAGAAACTGCTGAACTTTTCCATTGTCATTTTCTTATTTTTAAGCTGTTATCCTAAATGTCAGAAACAGAAACATGTAATACTTATAGGTGTCTGTTGTATACCCATTAATGCATTCAGCTTTAGTGTTTATCAACTAATGGCTATCTTGTTTGGTCTGTATCCCTACCTGTTTCACCCCATTCTGTATTATTTCAAAGCAAATCTCTGATGTCATATAATTTTATCTCTACTTCTTTGGTATGTATATTTAAAATATAAATACTTTTAATTTTTGATATCAATTCTTTAATGTCAGATATCCCATCAGTGCTCAAACTTGGATTAGCTCCTAAATTTCATAAAATATTGTTACGTTGCAATTGGTTGTTAAGTTTTACTGCCCCCTCCCCACATTAAAATTTATGTATTAAAGTAATTAGGTAGTATTTAATATGTAGATTTTGATAATTGCATCCTTATGAGTTGTTAAAGTTTTTTTCTAGTCCTTTTCTTTGCAGGTTGGTAGTTGGATATAGCTTGATCTGATTCAGGCTGGATTTTTCTTTTTGGCAAGACGGTTTCAGAAATGACGATGTATTTGTTCTTCTATCAGGAAATAAGACTTCAAAAAATAGAGAAATCAATAATTCTTTCTAAATTTATTAGCTGTATTTTTTTTAATTTATTTTTTATATCATTATGACCTCCATACTGTTGTTTTTCTTACTGAGGCACAAGATGGTTGGAGCTTCTCCATTTGGCTCTTGAGACATTTTGAAACATCCTTAATAATTTTTATTCACTCTTAGTTCTAGGCTTGTCTTGTATATTTTGTGCCCCAACCTGAATGAGCCATTTTAACAAGGTACTTAGATTTCTGTTAGTTAAGAGACTACAATCTGGGCTGGGGTTGTGGCTCAGTGGCAGAGCGCTTGCCTCACACATGTGAGGTCCTGGGTTCAATCCTCAGCACCACATAAAAATAAATAAACAAAATAAAGATACTGCATCCATGTATAACTAAAAAAGTATTTTTAAAAGGGGGGGCGACAATCTGCTAGAGGTACCAGGCTGACATTGTTCATAGGCTTTCTTTGGTCAAATTATTTGTGTTTATGTGTTTATAATGTAAAAGCGTGGGCTCATGCTGATACTTTCCATTTCAATTCTGAGCTGTAGGCTTTTCACTTACCCTCTTCTGTCTTTTAGCTATGTCTACTTTTTCCCACCCCAAGAATACTTCTGCTTAAATCACAGCTGCTTTATGAAGGCATGGCCATTATACTGTATAATATTGGGTAGGACTGTTCATATAATACTTAGTTATCTATATGTGCATTTGTTCACATGGAATTTGCTGTGTGTATACATCCTATTGACTATCTCTCCTGAAGTTTTTGTTGTTGTTGTTCTAATTGGTTATACACCTCCTATGTTGTAATGAAATATAATTACAAAGTAAAAATTTGTGAATGGAGCAGCTTGGAGAAAAACTGGCTCTTCTATCAGAATTGTTGATGTATAATAAGATTATTATAATCTCTTGGTTTATATGCAAGCTCCTCTTATCTTTAATTGTTTCCCTACAAATAAAATAATATATGTATATTTTTTCTTGGTTTTTCCTTATAGGATTTGCCAGAAACTATTCCTTACTTAAAAATTTTTACAGTTGGGCATCAAGTGCCTGATAACAACACTATTTTTAAATTCAAATGTGCTGTTAGTGGATTTTTGAAAGAAAATAAAGACAATGGTGAGTTTGGGGTGGGGGAGTTATCTGAGGTGAGAGATCTGAGAGTTACCTAAAAAAAGACAACAAAAGGCAAAGTTAGCAGTGAAACAAAACAGAGCAGGCAAATGAAATTGTATCTTTGCTATACATGTTTAAGCTATTTCTGATATTTTTCCACTTTGAGAAAAGTAACTAACTAACTAAAAGTAACTAACAAGTGTTGTACTTGTATCCAGTGTCAAAAGTGGAGGCTGGATTCATATGTAGCTCAGTGGTGAAGCATTTGCCTAGCATGTGTGAGGCCCCAAAACAAATTTTATTCTTCTAGTCTGTTGGGTTTTTTTTTTTCACTTCCTTTTTCTATAACTAAATCTGTCACTGATAGGTGCTCTATTTGGACCAATGAATTTGTCTCAATACAAGTGTAGCTTTTAATACCTGATCAGATCTTCTACAATTTACATCATTGATTTACATCGTGAGGTTATTTGAAATTTCCTTGAAACAGTGAATGTTGATTTTCTAGTAGACAATTTTTTATACTATATATGTATTTTTAAAAATTCCTTTTCGGGGTAGTGGTAATATTGTGGTATCTTTAAATGTTACTCTTCAATAACTGTATAACTTTTTTTAGTGTATCTATTTTAGTTACTTAACTGTATTTCTTGTTTTATAGACAAACTTATTGGTGTCCACTGTACACATGGCTTAAACCGGACTGGTTACCTCATCTGCAGGTGAGTTGCCAACCCCAGAGGCAAACTGTGTTTAAGTTGTTTTTGTCTGATAACAATGGTAGTGTAAGTTTGTTGCAAGAAATGCAATCAGTATAAAAATGTGTAAAGTAGAAAGAAATATAGTTCCCCACCCAGAGATTACCATTATTAATAATTTAGTGTACATCTTTTTAAACTTCAAAAATGCAGATACAAGCATGTATAT